AAAAAAAAAAGGTTGAGAAGTTAGAGGGTTAATATGTTGTGGGGTTGTTAACTAATGTCATAAAACAACATGTGTACTACTGTTTCATGAGAAACTATTTGTTCTGTAAGCCTTCACCTGAAGTACGATTAAAAAAAAAAGAAATGGAAATTAGAACGACAAAGAAAAGGAAATGTTGTGCATCCTACTTTGGTGAGTGGCGTCTGGGGTCTTTAAAGCTAGCAAGCAGCCATCTAAGATGCATCAATTGGTCCCAACCACCTGGAGTAAAGGAGAATGAAGAACACCAAAGACAAAGGAAAGTGTTAGCCCAAGAGACAGAAAGGGCCACATAAACCAGAGACTCCATCAACCTGACACCAGAAGAACTAGATGGTGCCCAGCTACCACCAGTGAATGCCCTGACAGGGAACACAGCAGAGAGCCCCTGACAGAGCAGGAGAAAGGTGGGGTGGGGAACCCAAATTCTAGTAAAAAGACCAGACCTAATGATCTGACTGAGACTGGAGGAACCCTGGAAAGCATGGGCCTTGGACTCTCTGTTAACCCAGAACTAAAACAGTTCCCGAGACAACTCTTCAGACAAAGATTGGACTGGACTATGGGACATAAAATGATACTTAGCTCAAGTAGATACATGAGACTAAATGGGCAGTTTCTGTCTGGAGGTGAGATGAGAAGGCAGAGAGGGTTAGGAGCTGGTTGAATGGACATGGGAAATCAAGGATGGAAAGGAGGAGTGTGCTGTCACAGTATAGGGAGAGTGATTAGGGTCACATAACTATAAATTTTTGTATGAGAGACTGACTTGAATTGTAAACTTAAACTACAGCAATAAACAAAAAACAAACCATGGCTTGGGTCAGGTGCATCGTAGTCCTCAAAGTGACGTCTTTACTTTTGAACACTTGAAAGAGGTCTTTTGCAGCAGATTTGCCCACTGCAATACATCGTTTGATTTCTCGACTGCTACTTCCACGGGTTTTGATTGTGGGTCCAAGTAAAATAAAATCTTTGACAGCTTCAATATTTTCTCCATTTATCATGGTACTGCTTATTGATCCAGTTGTGAGGATTTTTGTTTTCTTTATGTTGAAGTGTAACCCATACTGAAGGCTCTGTAGTCTTAGGTCTTCATCAGTAAGTGCTTCATGGTTGTGTCATTTGCATATCACAGGTTGTTAATGAGTCTTCCTCCAATCCTAGTGCCGCACTCTTTATATAGTCCAGCTTCTTGGATGATTTGCTCTGCATACATATTGAATAAGTATGCTGAAAGGATACCACCCTGACACACTTCCTCATTTTAAACCACACAGCATCTCCTTGTTCTATTCGGACTGCCTCTTGGTCTATGTACAGGTTCTGCATGAGCACACTATAAGTGTTCTAGAATTCCCATCCTTTACAATATTATGCATAATTTGTTATGATACACACAGTCAAATGCCTTTGTATTAGTTAAACTGAGGATATATTTAGTATTAATTAATCTGAGGATGAACTCTTTCTTTAGGATACATTCTGAATAGTGAGATTACTGGGCTATAGAGTAAAAACATTTTTTAATCCAGCTATATAGCTTGAAGTGTACTCCATAGAAGGCCTGAGTATACTGTGAGCTGTAAAATCGTGGCTCATCTGCATTACTTCTCTTAAAATCTTATTTCCCAGTGACTTGAAACAATGTGCTGTTACATTGGATGTTCTAAGCAAGATATTTGCATGTATTTTAATTTGGAGTATTAATTACATTTAAATAAACTCTTTATTCAATAGGCGAATCCAGATCCTAACACTTGTCTTGGAGTGTTTGGCCTCAGTTTGTACACAACAGAGAGAGATCTTCGTGAAGTATTTTCCCGCTATGGACCATTGAGTGGTGTCAATGTGGTTTATGATCAGCGAACTGGACGGTCTCGAGGATTTGCTTTTGTTTATTTTGAGAGAATAGATGACTCGAAGGAGGTAAATTTGTTTTTATAATTGATAGGAGTATTTTCTGTGGAAATAAAAGAAATACAATTTAGAATTTTTAAAAAGTTGCCGGAAAAGGTTATTGTGTGCTATTAAAAAATAAATGCTTTACAATTTGAAAAATCCCTAATGGACATGATTATAGTATCGAATCACTGTTAAAAGTTGATTAATAGACTCCCAGTTCTGTACTCCGACCTCATCCAAACTCTGCTTCTCGATGTTACCATTGGAGTGACCACAGTTCCACTTTCTAGGCTGTACATTCTGGTATAAGCCTATTCTGGTTGAAATGTGGCCTTATAAATTGAGCTGTGTGTATTTAAGTTAATGGAAAAAATTAAGTCTGTACATGTTTTCTTTTGAATAAGCCATATTGGTGTTACATGTAGATAATTAAATAGACTGAAAAATTCTATAGTGTTTAAATTTATTTATGTTTAATTTTATGAGACTAATTAGCTCTTTGTATATACAGAGCTTTTTTTTTTATTTTAATATTCATTTATCATTTTGTTCTATACTTGGAAAATAATACCTGGAAGGAATTGACAGACATTATTTCATTTAGTATCATTCTGAATTTTCCTAACAAAATAATCCAAGTCATTGACTTGAAATGGTGCTAATCTAATGTATTAGGTATTGAATTGTAAAGCAAGCAGTAGGCTTGCATTGTCTTTACTAAGATAGGCTAGTTCCTGGTGATTGAGTTAGAAAATTTCATTTTAAGGAACTTGAAGCTGAGTATTAAACTTTTCTCAGACCTTAATAAATGGACAATACTGGCATTTCTTCTGCAGTAGTGTGTGTACCATTTTACACATGATACACTTGGATATAGGGCATTACTGCTCTGTGCATCAACAGTGTTTGAGTACAACATAAACAGTCATGATAAAAATTGGCCAGACAGTAGTTTAACTAGTAAAAAATACCTGCCTTAAGCGTTATGCTCTTTTAAGAACTATCCATATGGGATCAAATTGACAACAGCAACTTGAAAGATTAAATAGGAAACTTAGGGGGCAGTGGGCTTATGTTAATGGAGGAAGAACAGCTTGGAAAAGGAGGGTGAGAATGGTTGCAGAACTCAAAGAATGTAATCGGTGTCACTGAATTGTACACGTAGAAACTGTTGATTTGGTGTATGTTTTGCTGTGCATATTCTCAACAACAGAACAACAAAATAATTTTTTTTAATGGCCATTTCTTCCAAAATAATGGATAATACTGGCATCTGGTGAGTAGAGGCTAGGGATGCCACTAAACTTTCTTTAATGCACAAGACAGCCCCCTTCGCAAAGGATGTTAGTAGTGCCAAGATTGAGAAATCCTGAGTAACTACCAACAAAGTAAAACTCTGTTTGAAAGTCATTTATTTAATATTGTTGTCAGGTGCCCTGTTGCTGTGTTGAGCCCATTGTAGGCACTGTGTCAGTCCATCTTGCTGAGGGTCATCTTCTTTTTCACTGACCGTGTACTTCACCAAGCATGATGTCCTCCAGGAACTGGTCTTTTCTGATAACAGTGTATTTAATAGCATATTTAATAGGCTCCCTAATGTTTTAATTTGTCAGTATCGTGAGTTTTGTTTTTTAATCATGTTTTAACTGAAAGTTTACAATTCAAGTCAGTTTCTCATGCAAAAATTCATACACACATTGCTGTGTGACCCTAGTTGCTCTCCCGATACTTTGACAGCACACTCCTCCCTTCCACTCCGGATTTCCCATGTCCATTCAACCAGTCCTGACCCTCTCTGCCTTCTCATCTCATCTCTGGACAGGAGCTGCCCATTTAGTCTCATGTATCTACTTGAGCTAAGAAGCACACTCCTCATGAGTATCACTTTATGTCCCATAGTCCAGTCTAATCTTTGTCTGAAGAGTTGGCCTCGGGAATGGTTTCAGCTCTGGGCCAGCAGAGAGTCCAGGGGCCTTGTCTTCTGGGGTTGCTCCAATCTCAGACCATTAAATCTGGTCTTTTTACTAGAATTTGAGTTCTGCACCCCACCTTTCTCCTCCTGTGTCAGGGACTCTCTGTTATGTTCCCTGTTAGGACAGTCATTGGTGGTAGCTGAGCACCATCTAATTCTAGTCTCAGGCAGATGGAGTCTGTCGTTTATGTGGCCCTTTCTGTATCTTGGGCTGGTATTTTCCGTGTGTCTTTGGTGTTCTTCATTCTCCTTTACTCCAGGTGGGTTGGGACAAATTGATGCATCTTAGATGGCCGCCTGCTAGCTTTTAAGACCCCAGTAAGGATTTGCCAAATTGATTTCCAAAGTGGTTGTACCATTTTACATTCCTACCAACAGTGTATAAGTGTTCCAGTTTCTCCACAATCTCTCCAACATTTATTATTTTGTGTTTTTTGGATTAATACTAGCCTTGTTGCGGTGAGATGGTATCTCATTGTAGTTTTCATTTGCGTTTCTCTAATGGCTAATGATTGTGAGCATTTCCTCTTGTGTCTGTTAGCCTCTTGAATGTCTTCTTTGGTAAAGTGTCTGTTCATATCTTTTTGCCCATTTTTTTAGTTTGTTGTTGAGGTTTTGCAGTATCTTGTAGATTTAGAGATTAGACCCTGTTCAAATTCGTTGTAGCCAAAATTTTTTTCCCAGTCTGTGGGTTGTCTTTTTACTCTTGGTGTGAAGTATTTGGATGAGCATAAGTGTTTGATTTTTAGCAGCTCCCAGGTGTCTAGTTTCTTATCTGGTGTTTGCGCATTGTTACTTATGGTTTGTGTTCTGTTTATGCCATGTGTTAGGGCTCCTAGTGTTGTCCCTATTTTTTCTTCCATGATCTGTATCGTTTTAGATTCTATTTTTAGGTCTTTGATCCATTTTGAGTTAGTTTTTGTGCATGGCGTGAAGTATGGGTCTTGTTTCAATTTTTTGCAGATGGATATCCAGTTATGTTAGCACCATTTGTTAAAGAGACTGCTTTTTCCCCATTTAACGGACTTTTGGCCTTTGTCAAATATCAGCTGCTCATAGGTGGATGAATTTATGTCTGGATTCTCAATTCTGTTCCATTGGTCTGTGTATCTGTTGTTGTACCAGTACCAGGCTGTTCTGACTACTGTGGCGGTATAATAGGTTCTAAAATCAGGTAGTGTGAGGCCTCCCACTTTGTCGTTCTTCAGTAATGCTTTACTTATCCGGGGCTTCTTCCCTTTGCATATGAAGTTGGTGATTTTTTCCTCCATTAGTATTGTGAGTTTTTTTCCAATTGGATTTTTTTTTACTTAATGGTGGTAAACTGTGTATAATGTGAAATTGCCCTTTTAACCACTTTTGAATATACAGTTAATTCAGTGACATTAATTACATTCACAGTGTTGTACAACCATCACCACTATTTCCACGAGTTTTTATAACTGTTTTTTATTGTTATATGTTTGTAGTTTGTTTTCTTCCTGGTTTCATTTAAGGGGTACAGTATAAATTTAGAAGATACTAAGATATCTTACTTGGTAATTGATGGAATTTTTGTATCTTTGCAAAGTGCAAACCATCACAATTTAATTTTTTTTTTCATGTGAAACTTGTTTGTGATACCGCTCGTGTCCCGTTCCGTCCCCTGTTCCCCCCCCCCCGGTTTATTTCTGGATAAAGTAAAACAAAAATTGCAACTTTACTTGGTCCCAAAGAACTTCTTGCAAATGCTGTCATTATCCAGAGTGTTTAAATTATTATTGTGTTTATTGGAATTGGTGCCTAAGGACAAAGTGATAGGAAATGTGAGCTCAGATACAAAGAATGACTGGTAGGGTTTTTGGCTGTTGTTGTTACTAGCTGCTGTTGAATCAGGCTCCCCGCCCTCTTTCTCATGACAGTCCCTGGGCACTTTTGGATTGGGTAGTTGTGACCTGTAGAGTGTTGTGTTATCCCATTCGCTGATTTGCAGAAGCATATCACCAGGCCCTTCTTCCTGATCTTAGTCTGGAAGCTCTGCTGAAACCTGTTCAGTGTCATAGCAACATGGAAGCATCTACTGATAGATAGGGCGGTGGCTGCGCTTGAGGTGCATTGGATATTTGGTGTTCACTAGGTGGCAGTGTGTTATCTAAGGCTTGACTGGCTTAGATTTACCAGCTGAATTGTAATTTCTGCTTTGAGTTGCCCAGACTGAAACTGGTTATTGCCAACCTCAGAATTATTCAGGCTTCTTTGAATTGTGTGGCTCCTTCTCTATGGCTGTAGCTGCCTCCCCTAGCCCTTCAACACTGACTTCCTAAGTGTTTTTGCTGAAGTGTCTGTACATAAGAAAATTCAGTAATATTGGCACACCTGGTGGCATAGTGTTTAAGAGCTACAGCTGCTAACCAAAAGGTCGGCAGTTCGAATCCACCAAGCACTCCTCAGAAACTCTGTGGGGCAGTTCTACTCTGTCCTGTAAGGTTGCTATGAGTCAGAATCGACTCGACGGCTATGAGTTTGGTTTTTTATAGTAAGGATTAATATGTAAAATCCTAGCCCCAGTTGTTTGGGAAAGAAGTACTTCAGAGAATTTTGAATTTTCAGATGGAAAATGTGGGAGAGAAATAATTTTAGTGTTTTTTTTTTTTAATTACATGGGAAAAATCGTCATAGTTGTTCTTCTGAAAGGTGAGACCAAAAGAGATACAGCTTGCTTTTATGAAAGTGGTAGACTGTTGTTAAGAGTGCATAGTCTTAAAAACAAAAGAATTAGCTCTTTGGGGGCTCTTAAGGTGAAATATTTGTGGATTGTATTAAAATTATGTGTATTTTTAGTCCAGTCTCAGTAAGAGACAGAGGTTTTACCATAATGGCATGCTTAAAACCACTGCTGTAGAGTCAATTCCAACTCATAGTGACCCTATAGGACAGAGTAGAACTGCCCCATAGCGTTTCCAAGGAGCGGCTGGTAGATTCCATCTGCCAACCTTTTGATTAGCAGCCAAGCTCTTAACCACTTAGCCAGTTCCTTATATCATCATTTCTTCTTGGCTGCTCACTGAGTCATATCAGCATACCGGGCTGCAAACTGAAGGACAAGAAGGGAGGACAGGTTATAATTAGAACCTTATAAACCTTAGCTCCTACTTTCACTGTTTTAATGTTGGTCTTTATAAGTGGAATGGCTGGAGACTAGTCAGTGTGAAATTACAGCCTACATGTATAACATATAAAAAGTTTAGCTTGAAGAGACTTTTCATACCTCTTGCTGATCTCATGGTTTGGGGAAGATTACGTGGCTGCTTTTGGGACTAAGTAAATTGTGTTAAGTAACTATTACTGAAAGACTAGTGAATTGTGCATGACTTTCTGTGCCTGTTCTCCTTTATAGGCTATGGAAAGGGCAAATGGAATGGAGCTAGATGGTAGAAGAATTCGTGTGGATTATTCTATCACCAAGAGAGCACACACACCTACACCAGGCATCTACATGGGCAGACCAACACAGTAAGATTTCAAGTTTCCGAAACTGAACTATAAGAATCAGAAATCCACTAGAAGTGTGTGCAAATTTTTAATTAATCAGACGATAAAATGATTTTTTTTTTCCTATTAGAGTTGACAGTTGTTTTAACATGTACCTCTTCTTGGAGTATGTAATTTGAGTAGGGAGACAAAGTAAAACTATCAGTGGATTTCCTGGCTCTTCTCTTGGTAGTATACCAATAGGAAAAAATTCTGAATACTAGAAAAATACTGAGTGGTTTTTAAATATTCTCTTTCTCTTCTTATGTGACCTTGGAAACCTATCCATAGTGAGGATTTTACTGATAATTGCATTTGTTTAAAAAAAACCACAGTTGCCACAATTTTCACATTTTGAGTAAAACAGATAGTAACTTTTATAATGTTTTTTAATATAATACAACCAAAGACAGTATTCACAGAGGTATTTCTTGGGAGTGAAGGGATTATAGACTTTCCTTTAATTTGAAATCTTACTGGGAGAAAATGTGGTAATTGGCAAGGGACAGCCTACAGAAAACTACTGTGAAAATGGTGTCCTTGTGATTAGAGTTTAAATCACTGCTAAAGGTTTAAACACCAGACCCTGGAATTGTTTTAGTGCTGGACCCTTTTGTCAGGTCCAGTTCTCTTTGGTGCTCAGGGTTGGTTACTTTTTAATTCTAGAAATGTATTAATTGCTTTGGAAACCCTGGTGGTGTAGTGGTTAAGTGCTACAGCTGCTAACCAGAAGGTTAGCAGTTCAAATCCACCAGGCGCTCTCGGAAACCCTATGGGGCAGTTCTACTCTGTTCTGTAGGATTGCTATGAGTCGGAATCGACTCATCGGCAGTGGGTTTGGTTTCTGGTTTTTGAATTAATCCCAGGAATTCACATCTTAACATTTTGATACTGCTTCCCAAAACAGTGCTTCACATTGATGTTATGCATTCTTCTGTAGTAGTGGTGGTGGCGGTGGCGGAGGTGGAGGTGGCGGCGGAGGTGGAGGTGGTGGCAGACGTCGAGATTCTTACTATGATAGAGGATACGATCGTGGGTATGACAGATATGAAGACTATGATTACCGGTACAGGTAATGTTTAAGTTTATGATTTCTGTTCTAAATTTGATGATGGTAGTACTGTTTGGTACTTCTAATTTATGTTTGATAGACGTTTGCAAAAATTTGATGTTTAAAATTGTATATGATGATTTCTTGAAAGAAACAGAAATGATTTTTCTGAAAACTGAGCATGGAGGTTAACTACCTTTATTTGCCAATATTTTGTTGTGCCACATGCTTGCTTTATTCTTCTAGTATCATTGGCACAAAAAGACCTTAATAGTTACCGTGTTGGATATAATACTGAGTGTTGAAGTTTATTTTTATTTTTATTTTTTCATCTGCCTCAGTGGAGCAATTATGTGGTATGCTAAATAATCTTTTGTTTCCTACAGAAGAAGATCACCTTCTCCTTATTATAGTCGATACAGATCACGATCAAGATCTCGTTCTTACAGCCCAAGTAAGTAAACTTTCTTTTGTAGCATTAAGAACCTCATTTCTAAATAATGGTTCACTTTAGAAAATTAAGAGTATGTGGAGGCTGTTGAGAGTTGGAAAATATTAGGCAAGTCAAACTATAATTGTCATATTTTAACATTTCTTTTGTTCTTTTTCAGGACGCTATTGATAAACTGAATGGTTGCAGTTGAGGACATATTTTTGTTTTCCTTTTCTCTTGTTTCTTTTTTTTTAATTATTTTAATTCTGGCTCTCCCTAAGCTTCTGATCTTGCCTACTCTTTAAAAAAGAACCCTTTAAAAACATCTTCGGTTTGTCTAGCATCTACACGTTGTCAGTTGTATTGCTGTTTTTCACTCTTTTTATTATATTCTTGAAGATGTAATTGTTATTGAGTAGTTAAACATCTTGAGTAAAAAAGGAACCCCAGTGTTTTGCTTGGTAAATTATTTTTCTTTGCTTTTACATAAAATTAACTCGTAGCTAATCAAATAAGGAAAGTAAGTTACTTTTTTAAAGCCTTTTTTTGTGTTAGGCATTGTATTAGAGACTTGCATTTATGACAAACTTTTTTGTTTTTAAACTTTATTTTGGGTAAGATAGTAACATAAAGTAGCTCCGTCATGTCAAGTTTGTCTTGGGTGGCATGGAATAGTCAAATAGTTGAGTGTAGAAAGTTTGATACTATAGAAGAAAACACTTGGTCATTTCTTTCAAAGAACGAAATTTTTGAACCCTAACAATTAAGTCTTTGTTTTTTAGAGGTGAAAACTTGTGGACTCCTGTACAACATGTTGTATTTGAAATACATCTGTTAAACCTTACAGACTTAAAATGTGACTTTTTTTGGTGTTAAACTTATTGAATATTCCCTTAATCAGTGAAGGACAACCCTTATTTATTAACTAGAGCAATTGTATAATTTGCTGTTAGAAATTTTGGTATTGGGACACTGGTCATGGTATATATAGTCCTTAGATGATACGTGTGGGGAAAAGTAGTCTCCTTTCAAATAAAAGTTAATTTCTTTGACAACTGTATTGTCTCTTTATTTTGGTACAATAGAAAAATATCTGGATTGAATTTGAGCACCAGTCCTTTTCCCAGCATTCCTCCAGTGTATATTTGTACAAAGTTTTGTCAATCCTGAGTTAATTTCCTAATTTTTCCCAGTATTTTTGCTTACATCTGAATGTGTAATCCTTGTTTATTTTTCAGACTTTAAAAAAAACTCTTAGTTTTTTTCTCTCTTCTTTTTTGTGGGCCAGGTTGTAAATATTTAAAGAGTATTTAGTACCAGTCACTATGCTAAAGGAAAGATAAATAATATGGCTCATGTCTTCAAGAAGCCCACATTCTAATAGGAAACAAACCACTGTTTAGCGAAGAGGTGAATGATGTTTCAGGTGACCTTTATAAAAAGGTATAGGAGTATGAGCTCCTTTGTTTTCTCTCTCACAGCATTGGGAACAATTAGATTATTATGATCTGTGGTCCATAAATGGAGCTGAGAATTTTGTAAATACATGGAATTGAAGTACCTCAGACACCTTTATTAAAAAGATAAATTTTCAAAGGTTTTTTTTTTTTTTTGCCAGTAAGGGATAATCAACAAAATTGGCAATCTGTGTTGGTCCTTAGAGGGCTTTTGTTGTTAAACCAGGTTATTAAAAAGACTGGGAACCATTGTCTTAAAGAGAACATTAATGTCTTGACTAGGAGTACTTTAAAAACTTAGGCAGACATTACTACAAGTCATTGCTAAATATTAATTGCTAGCTATTAGCACATTAGAGACAAAGGAGTTACAGATTATTTTTTCTAACTTGTGGAAAACAAATGGGACCTTAACATTAGAAGAGAATTCATTCTTCTAATTCAAAGTATAAAGGATACTTTTTAAAAAGTTGATTTCTAAAATCGTGCCCCACTCTTTTTAAAAAACCATCTATAATGAGACCAAATGGTCAACAAATACTCTAAAGCAGAGGTGAGAAGGTGGGGGGCTTGGGGGCTCTGAGACTACTAGGGTAACGGGAACTTGTTACGGATTGAATTGTGTCCCTCAAAATGTGTCCACTTGGCTAGGCCATGATTCCCAGTATTGTGTGATTGTCCACTGTTTTGTTATCTGATATTATGTATTATAAATCCTACCTCTGTGATGTTAATGAAGCAGGATTAGAGGCAGTTAATGAGGCAGGACTCAGTCTACAAGATTAGGTTTTGTCTGAAGCCAGTCTCTTGAGATATAAAAGGAGAGAGCAGAGAGACAAGGGGACCTCATACTACCAAGAAACGAGCCAGGAGAATAGCACGTCCTTTGGTCCCGGGGTCACTGCACTGAGAAGCTCCTCAACCAGGGGAAGATTGATGACAGGGACCTTCCCCCAGAGCTGGCAGAGAGAGAAAGGCTTACCCTGGAGCTGGCACCCTGAATTCGGACTTCTAGACTGTAAGAGAATAGATTTCTCTTCGTTAAAGCCATCCACTTGTGGCATTTCTGTTAAACAGCAGCACTAAATGACTAAGAACTGAACAACTAGAACAGAAATAATGAGAATGTTGATATAATGTGAAGAATGTAACCAATATCACTGAATGATACGTGTAGAAATTGTTGAATGGGAACTTGTTTTGCTGTGTACACTTCACTGGAAACACAGTAATTTTTTTTTAAATTGTGTCATCCCCTCCCCTGCTAAATCTTAAGCAGTATGTCAACAAAGAACATTAGCCACTATCTGGAAGAAGAAAGTGGCCATGTGAAGAGATAATAAACATAATTAAATACATAATATGTAGGTGTTACAGAGAAAAAGCAGGGAAGGGGAGAGTAAGGGAGATACAAGTTTTAATAGGATGTCCCTGAGAAGGTGGAAAGGAAGGAAGGGGAAGCAAGTCATAATAAGTGTAATGGCCTTAAGGTGGGAGCATACCTGGAAGGTTAAAAGAGAAGGAAGGAGGCCAGAGAAAACAAAGATGATAACTACAGGTCCAGTGCTACTGGAGAGAGGAAGGGAAGTGGAATGGGAGGTATTTGAACAGTCAAGAGTTAAGTTCTTAGGGAAGAACACTGTCCTAAGTAATTATTTGGTATAATGTATATTTATATAAATACTAGGTTTAAACACTATACGTGATCAGTTGCATGAATGCCCTTTTAATTATATGTTTTGCTCATAGATTACAATTTCAAAGAATATGTAACAGACTCCTAATAGTGGTTACTCTGTGGAGGAGGAGTATGGAAAGAGGAGTTGAGAGAAGGCAAAATGAATACTGTTTAAGCTCGCTTATATGAAATAAGCAAATATATAGAAACTAAAGATTATTAATGGTTAACGGGTAGGAGGATGGGGGAAAGGGCAGGTTTTGTTTGGGGGGCATTCAGTTCCTGCTAATGGTTGTGGAGTGTTTTTGGAAAAGGATAGCAGTAATGGTGGCACAACATGAAAATGTAATCAATATCATTGAATTGTAAATGTGGGAGTTCTGCTGTCAAATATTTTGTGTGTATTTTCACCACAATAAAAATCACAAAAAGTGACAGACACAAAGTAATGAGGAAACTAAGGGGGAAAAGTAAGATCATGAGGTTAGTACAAAAAATAAGTAACGATGGAATCTTGTCTACTCAGGTTCACAAATTCTGCCCTAAGCTTTCTTGCAGCGGGTCCCGAAGAGGTTATCCAATCCAAGAAAACCTGTGATATTCTAAGGTAAAAAAAGTAGTCGCTCAACACACCCAAACCTGTGGACTGTTTGTTACAAGTCCTCAAAGGGGATACTGTGATGTGTAATCCGTTATGTATCTGATGGTAATTTAATCCAGGAATAGATTTTCATGGCATAATTTTCATACTATTCTTCTATAAATACTCCTGCTTTGTGTGGTAAATTTGAGAAGATAACGGCTTGATACAAGAAAAGTGGCATTTAAGTGGTAACAGGCTGTAACAATGAGTTGGTAAATTTAACACATTCTTGTGAAAGTTGAGGAAACAAAGGGGCCTGTTAGGCGATCATCCTTTTCTTAGAAGTGAGCACAGACACATGGGTCATTGAGGCACCACAGTTTTAGAACACACAGTATGGCTCCAATGATCAAAAATGCATATAGACAAACAAAAACCTCTGAAATAAAGATCCATACAAATCTAATGTGGTACTATGTAACCATCTCTGCTGCACTCTGCAAGAAGTTTCGCAAACTGATTAGGTAACCAATGAGGTAAGTTGCAGCCTTGTTGCATCCTTGGTGCCTAGAATGATGCCTGGCATGGAGTAGATGTTCAATAATGTTTGCATAAACGAATGAGGATACTATCTGGGGGAAGATAATTGCTTGGTCTCATTAACTTAAATTCCCAGTCAGAAAGGTAGTTCCATCAAAATTAACGAGCTGAATTATAAAAGCTTAACTGAAGGGATCTAGGCTGAACATATATTCAATTATGATGACCCTAAAACATGGTTAAGAATCAATTTCAATCTGTTTAATAAAAGAAGAAAAATGGCAATTGAGTACCATCTAACATAAAAGTGTTGGTGCATAAGTCACCTTGAAAATTCCTTTACATGGAACATTGAGATCACTGATAATGTCAGGTAAGTGAAGCATTCTATTTGATATTCACAAAAAAACGAAGTGCAGAGAGGTCACAATGGCAAATGTTCTATTTTTATACTTAAAAAGGCCAATGAATTTATCAAGTACAGTACAAAGTTAATCCATAAAAAATCCATTTTCACTAACTTCTAACTGAAATTTAGCATTTCCTTCAATAATGTAGGCAAACATTCAAACCTACCTGTAAAGGTATACGTATATTTGTAATTGAACTTAACATATTTTTAAATTCTTTGATTTCTCAAGAGTCATTGAGGGTTTACACATTTTTTTTTAATACCATAAATTTAGTAAGTGGAAGACCCAAATGAAGAACACTAAAAACATTTGTTGTATACATGGATCCTGAATCCATTTATAGACTACTGAATGGGAAGACCTAATACTATAAACATTCCAATCCTTCCCCCAAATTTATATATACATTTAATGTAGTTCCAATTAGAATGCTATGACCATCAAAGGATCTTAAGTTCAAGTAAACATGCAGACTTAGAAAACTGTCCACAATTGGCATTATATTCACTTAGAAGAATGTATGACAGGAAGCAGTATGTGGTAGAGCAACACCAGGCATTCTGCAGGAGTCCTCGTAGCAGTTCACACAGCAGTATGACTCAGGTGCGAGGAGATGAGCTCCACATCGAACAAGTGCAGAAGCCATTTAGCTTTAAAAGGTTTATGCTCCAAGAGCCAGTGTAACAGCTCCATAGGCATAACTTACCGGGTTCCTGGAAGACATGCCTAGCTATGTCACTGCACTCAGGAAAGCTTCCAAGTATTTTGTCTCCACTAGGTATTTATAGTATTTATCGTTTCTCCAGTCCAATGTTGTAACAAAGTTGACATACAGTCCTTACCAGGATACCAGAATAAGAAAACTAGGCAGCTTAATAAAGGATAAATTCTTATGCAGAAAGCAGGAAGGTTTTTTAAACCATAATTCCTACAGGACTTAGGAAGGGATTGGATGAAATTGTTCCAAAGATTCCATAAATAAACGCGGGACTAGAACTGAGTCTAGAATGGATCCAAGTACATATGGGAACATACGTATTAAAGATAGCATTTCAGTTGGAAAAAGGACATACAATAAAAAGTGTTGGTACAATTGACTATTTGGAAGAAAATAAATTTAGACCTTTACCTCATACAATACTAAATTACAATGTAAATTCCAGATGGGTTAAATACCTAAACGTAAAAAAATAAAGTTAAAAATCACCATTTGGCCTCCATCTAAAATAGTTATATTATGGCAAGACTCTTGGACAGATGCTAAAACTAACGGGTAAAAGTTTGAGGAGTAACAGGAAACTTGGTGTGAAAATATGTCCCCACAAACAAAACAAAAAAAAAAAAACCCCACTGCTGTGGAGTCATTTCCAACTCACAGTGACCCTATACGACACAGTAGAACTGCCCCATAGGGTTTCCAAAGCTGTAAATCTTTACAGAAGCAGACTACCACTTCTTTCTCCCACGGAGTGGCTGGTACGTTGAAACTGCTGACCTTTTTGTTAGCAGCCAAGTGCTTTAACCACTGTGTTACCAGGACTCCTGTATGTCCCCACAAGACATTTATTCATTACAAAGGCGAAAACAGTAACATTACACTGAAGAAACCTAGCAAACACCCCCTTAACCAAGTGATCAAAGTTAACATCATCAGTGATGGGACTAATGGAATGGACATCACATTCCTCTTAATGTAATGCAGTAAGTAGATCACTTCTGTGGTATTTGCCAAAAATATATAACTTGACTCTAATCATGGGGAAACATCAGATAAACCCAACTGAGAGGCATTCTATAAAATAGCTGACCTGTTGAACACCCAGCAGCAGCCAAGTATACTTTCTTTTGGAACAGTCTCCAGAATAGACCACATGTTAGGCCATAAAGCCTTAACTCAATCCAAAGCAATGAAATATTACAAAGCATCTTTTCTGAGCATAAAGGCATAAAAGTAAAAATCAAAACAGAAAAAGCAAGGAAAAAAATCAAACACATGGAAACAACAATGCCTTCCTCAAAAACTACTGGGTTATAGAAGAAATTATGGATGGAATAAAGAAATTCACAGAATGAGAATGAAAACATAACCTACCAGAACCTTTGGGACACAGTAAAAGCAGTGCTCAGAGGTCAATTTATAGCAATAAGTGCACACATCCAAAAAAGAAGGGCCAAAATCATTAACCCTACAACTTGAACACCAACAAAGAGAACTTTGAAGAGGAAATCACCAAATCAATACCATTTACAGTAAACCCCAAGAAGATAAAATACTTAGGAATAAATCTAAGAAGAGACATAAAAGACCTATACAAAGAA